AGGTTAGTTTGGTTAAAACATGGAGTATTTGAGTGAAGGTTTGGTACATTACCTTACAATGTATGCTTGTGTCAGAATGTTGATGTTAAATGTATATAAGGTGCTTCAAAACATTTGCATGCAAAGGTTTTTCTGTGAGACTGGGTTGAAAAAAAAGATGTCTCATTTGTTCAGAGTACTTGGCACTAGTCAGAAGTGGTAATATGAAGTACCACTACAAAACAAGACATAACCAATTCAAATGGTCTCACTTATAGCCATAAACTAATCAGTAATAGTTAATCATTAAAATGTAACTTTACATCATTCAGTCATGTTTATCGGGACCAAGGAATGTTTTGTAACTGGATCTTGAGTTTATCCTGGCCTATGTTACCACATCATGTTCTCCAACTCCAGTAAAACTTTTCCTTCAACAATATGTACCTGTGTGTGTAAAGTCACATATACAAGAGTCAACTTTCCTTAGCAACACATAGAAATGGCATTCCTCTATCCCTGCAGTACCTATGAATGTTTCCTTAAAGAGGCATTCTTCAAGGTATCTTCAAGCTCAAGGTGTGAACAGGGATTTGAAAAAATAAATTAAAAAAATATAATATTCTACAATCATAGCCTCGAACTAGCCACTTCATGCTCTAGACCACAACTAAAGGCCTACCTCATGAAGTACTTAGCATGTTGTTATATAAAAATGTCTTGTGTGTTTTTTCATACTATACTAACCTCTCCAACAGGTTTTTAGACTGATAGTACTCTTAGTTCTTGATCAAGTGAACCCATATGAGGATTCATTGATAGAGATTTCTGTAAGTCTCTCTGGATGAGGGGGTCTGCCAAATGGCATAAATTTAAAGGTAAATGTAAACACCACACTGTTAGTAACCCAAGTCCAGTCTTGATGATGGTTTTACTAACACAGGCTTTTATCAAGTACAACACTAAGCACTAACTTTCATATCCTTAACACTAAAACCAATCTGCATCTCAGCAGGTTACGTTAATGTACGGCCAGGTTGTAGACTGACAGTGATTGATGTGTACCATTCTGGCATCATTAATACTCTGGAGGGCTTTGCTAGAGCTTGCAGCCTGCGCCAGCCGAACTGCTGAGGGGGGTCTCCTTTAATTGAAACCTGTGTGAGTCAGAGCGCATGCCCCACGCCTCACCACACACAGCAAACACTCACACTCCATCTTTTGTTCTGTAGACCCACCGCCAGCCACTTCATTCTTCTCTCAAATTAATTTAGCAGAAAGTAATTAAACCTTTACTTCCACAACCTGCCTTATGCACAAGAGTGCAGCTTACTGAAAAGGTGTGGGGGGGAGGGGGGCCAAAATTAAGACATGTTGGTGCCAAATGACTGTTGGAGGTTAAAAATAATATAAGAGGCCAGAGTAGCAGGGGTTAGGCTCCTTTAATAATGGAATAGCACGAGCTGGCAGAAAACACTTTGCAGGCTGCATTGTTTTCCGAGCAGAGGTTGAGCTTGTGGAGAGTATGCACTTTGGTGTGGGTACAGTCAGCATTGTTTCAACCCATGAAGCCGTAATGCACTTGGCAGGTGTTTTTTGTTTGTTTGTTTTCTTTCATAATATGTTTATATAAACCAAAAGTTCTACTTTATTAACTAATTTAATGACTATTGCTTTTATGTTCATATCAGATTTGACAACTTAGATTTAAAAAAGAATTGTCCTTATAAAAAGATTTGCTTTGAATAGTGGACTGGATTACATTTTTCATAAGTATGAAGAAATCTGTGACCCTATCAATTCTTGTACTTTTAACTACAACATTTGATTTTTGGTGTGGTTCATTGATTCATTGGTGTTTTTTGAAGGATTCTGCCAATGAAGACCTTAATTCCATTAATCCTGAACAACATGGAGCAGCTAAACACACTTACTCATATTACACTATAAGCACATTTAAAATGTTTTCTCAGCTTCATTATATGTTTTAAACAACCCAATATCAAATTAGCCCAACAATCATGTGTGTTGATTGTGTAACAGTGTCTATAGATAAATCATTAGAAGAAGTTCAGCTGCGTGGCAGTCTGGGAGAGTCAAAAGATTGTGTTTAGCTATTTAACTTGAGTTCAACGAGTGTCTTTGAACTACATTTTGGAGTTGATTCAGACTGCCAAAGCAAGTATTTGCACAGCAAATATTTTAATCCTCAACTAATCACTTGGTTAGGTTCAGTGCAGGAGGTGAGAGAGGAGGTGGCAGCAAGTCATGGTGGCCTGGCACATTCCTCCTGTCAATGATGCCTTTGTTCTGAAGGGATTTCTCTAAAATTCAAATATGGTGATCTCTTGTGACTATCATGTGCATTTACAAAGGAAACACATATGTAACTTGTCAGAAAACAGTATGCACCTAAATAAGGCTAAATTAAAACCCTTAAACAGGCACACAATGTACTACTTGTGCAAAAAAAAAAAAAAAAATATGTTAATTCTTACTAATTGGAGCACATTCAACAAAATTTCATAGATTTTTTTTTTTCAAATTCACCCTTTTAGTATTTTGGGAGAGTAAGAATTATGGACGTCTACCAGTTGGTTGCACATTTAAGGTAACCGTAGAAGGCCCTATTGAGCACAATGAACCAGAATGGTTTTACTTGGTTTTACAGCTACAAATTTAAGGAATTTTGACTGTAAAATTTTCCAAGTGCTTATGAAATTACAATCAAATATTTTCAGGTATTCTCCCACACACTCTAGACAGGAAGACACCATGACTATCACATTCTACAAGAGTATCACCTTCTATAAGACTATCTTCTATAAGAATATCACCTCCTATAAAAAAAAAAACAAACTAACAAATGTAAAAAAAAAAATAAAATATAGTACATATCCTACACACATAACTGGAAACTTTATTCTATGTATTTTAGTAAAAAGCTCACAGAAGTTTAACAAATAGCTGCTCAGTTTGTGAGCTTGCATAATTTATCACTTTATCTTTTTATTAAATTTAGGAAATAAACCCTGAGGACTGTGGTTCATTAGTGTGGATTTCTCGTTGTACAAGGTGTCCCAAAAGTCTCCATCTATCTATCTATATCTATAGGGCTCCTGCGATGGGGGGGGGGGGGGGGGGGTGACCCGCATCGTTGAGCTGACCAGATGAACCAGTTTTTTCCAGCGCTGGCGATCTTGTGCCAGCTGCTCTGCATCCTCCACAGCAACTCCGTATTGTTGGAGGTCCCCCGCGATGACGTCGAGCCACCGGGTGCGGGGCTTGCCTCGTGGTCGTCTCCAGCCTGCAGCCCTCGGGTCAAACAAACTTTAAAAGTCTCCATACATAGGGAAGATTAACACTTTTTAGCAAAATGTCTTCCAAAATTTTTCATACTTAGTTTATATTATATATACGTTTTCTGATAGCCTTTGACAAAAGAAGAACATTTTGAAATCATTCTTATGGCTAGATCAGGAGCATGCAATTACATGCATGACACCAGATGTGTTAACACGAGTTCATCATGAGTGGGAGAGATGACTGTGTGTTTACAAAGAAATCGCAAATATGTCAAGGATATTTTGTAAATAAAGTTACATTTTGCTAAAAAGTATTAATTTCCCATATGTATGGAGACTTTTGGGACACCCTGTATTATAATATAATATAATATAATATAATATAATATAATATAATATAATATAATATAATATAATATAATATAATATAATATAATTTTAGTAATTTGATGAATGAAGAGTAGTGCTGGTGATAACAAAGCTGTATTTCAAAAACTGAAAGCATCCTCCTTGTGAATGTATTATGTCAAAAAAAAAAAAAACTCATTGTAATCCCTTGAGATAAAGTGAAAAGTTTGAAACAAATTTATGATCAATATACACCGATCAGCCATTACATTAAAACCATTGACAGGTGAAGTGAATAATATTGATTATCTCATTACAGTGGCCCCCTTCAAGGGGTGGAATATATTAGGCAGCAAGTGTCCGTCTGGTCCGATCCCACAGAAGAGCTACTGTAGCACATATTGCTGAAAAAGTTAATGCTGGCTATGATAGAAAGGTGTCAGAACACACAATGCATTGCAGCTTGCTGCGTAACTGCAGACTGGTTTGAGTGCCCATTCTGACCCCTGTTCACCGGCAAAAGCAGCTACAATGGACACATGAGCATCAGAACTGGACCATGGAAGAAGGTGGCCTGGTCTGATGAATCATGTTTTCCTTTACATCATGTGGACGGCTGGGTTTGTGTGCGTCACTTACATGGGGAGACATGGCGCCAGGATGCACTATGGGAAGAAGACAAGCCGGCGGAGGCAGTATGATGCTCTGGGCAATGTTCTGCTCGGAAACCTTGGGTCCTGGAATTTATGTGGATGTTACTTTGACACATACCACCTTCCTTAACATTGTTGCAGACCAAGTACACCTCTTAATGGCAACGCTATTCCCTAATGGCAGTGGCCTCTTTCAGGAGGATAATGCACCCTGTCACACTGCAAAAATTGTTCAGGATGGTTTGAGAAACATGACAAAGAGTTCAAGGTGATGACTTGGCCTCCAAATTCCCCAGATCTCAAGCCGATTGAGCATCTGTGGGATGTGCTGGACAAACAAGTCCGATCCATGGAGGCCCCACCTCACAACTTACAGGACTTAAAGGATCTGCTGTTAATGGCACGAGGTCTTGTGGAATCCATGCCTTGACAGATCAGAGCTGTTTTGGCAGCACAAGGAGGACCTACACAATATCATTGCTGATCAGTGTATATTGGAATTACAGTAATAAATGTGTGGAACCATGTGGTCAGCCACCTGTTAAGGCGAAACATTGCTGTGGGGATTTGGAAACTACACACTCTGAAAGTGTATATAATGTGTATTACATTTTGCGTGCACACTGTTTTTTCTTTCGCCCAATATGTCCAAAGATTCATCACAGTTTAGGTAGATTGGTGTCAGTTTTTTTTAAATCTCAGATTGGCCCTGTGGGGCATGGTGGCTTAGTGGTTAGCATGTTTGCCTCACACCTCCAGGGTTGGGGGTTTGATTCCACCTTCTGTGTCAAGTTTTCATGCTCTCCCCATGCTTTGAGGGTTTCCTCCAAGTACTCCGTTTTCCTCCCACATTCCAAAGACTTGATGAATGAAGACATGTTGTAAGCTGATTGGCATCTCTAAATTGTCTGTAGTGTGTGTGTGCGCGCGCGCGTGCGATTGTGCCCTGTGATGGTTTGGCACCCCATCTGGGGTGTACCCTGCCTTGTGCCCTGAGTCTCCTGGGATATGCTCCTCACAACCCTGTGTAGGATAAGTGGTACAGAAAATGGGTGGATGAATGGATATTCGTCATGTAACGTCTAGATATAAAACAATGCCCTGTGCACTGAAATTAGGCCATATTAGTGTAAGACCAAGCCTGGTGACTTTCTGAATGTGCACATACTGCAACGTTAACTTTTGTGTAGACACTGTATCATGTCCAGTATGTTCAGTGGATCATTTCACTTGAGGTAGATATTAAAGTTTCAGCTCCTTCTCTTCACTGGAAGGAAATTAGATGTAAAAGTGATGGCCACTTTGTGTTAGGAGTATGTGCTTTTTCCTTCAAACTTTTGACATAACTTTTGACATTACCATATGCTTAATGTAGAGGTTTGTGACAGAAGACAATCTACTTAGAAAGACAGAGACTTCACAGAATACTTCATAGGAAAGGGAAGAAGAGAAAGAACAAAAATGGAAACATGAACACAGGTTCTCAGAGGATTTTTTTTATGAATATCGTGAGGAACTATAAAAAAGAAGGAAAGGTAAAAATAAAAAAGTGTCTCCATTTATTTTTCATTGATTATGGGCTGATTTTGCTGAAGCTGTGTAACTTATCACAGCCCACTAACTGACGAAGGCAGCGTTGTGGTGTTTGATATGCTTCAGAGAGATTTAAAGAGTGGAACTGATTGTGCATGTCTCACTCAAGCTCTGCACAGCATTCAGCCAGCGGGCTTGCCTTTCAAAGCTTGCAGATACACACACACACACACACACACACACACACACACACACACACACACACACACACACACACTCAGAGATATACTACATTAACAAAAGCCCATCCCTGACTGGCTCTTGCTCACATCCAAACACATGAAATCAAGCGGAGACAGTCTCTCAGCTCTCCACTTTAACCAGTCCCTGTTTCTTAATTTCTATAAATGTCTGAATATATGTCTTCATATGCCAGAATACATCTCATTAATGAGATTATAAATATGGCTAAATTTAAAAAATATTTTGAATTTCCAAAGAGGCTGCAGTGAAAAGATCAATAAACTGGTTGAGTGAGTTCCACTTTGAAGACTTTCAGGCATAAGGTTTGCAAGGTGATGCTTTGGATACTTGTTTTTTAAAAGCCTGTTTTTTCCCAACCATTTTAAATGTGGTTCATAAAAACCTATTACATAGTAACTCACAACATAAACCTAAAAAATTAAAAAGTTACTTTGTTGCATTAGTCTCTCAGGTTGGTGTCTGTAATAAAATTTCTATGTATTTCTTCTGTGATAAGACTCATGAGTTAAAATGACACAAGCACGTTTTATGCATATGTCAGGTGTTTGTTTCACACAAGGTTATGTGACTACATGACTGTGTTTTGGATTTATTTATACAAAATTTTAATCATGATATTGTGGCATATGTGAATCTAAAGTGAAGCTTTATGTCAGCTGTAGCTGTCACTATCATGGTCAGTTTAATCACCCTGCAAAACCTCCCTCTTTGGTTTACCTTGCTTTCTTCTCTTTTTCTTTTAAAGGAAACCAACACCCATCATTCCATGGTTTCTGGATTTTTTTCCTAGTTCTCATTCTTGATACAAGCACTTTTCAAAGCAAATGGTCTGTGGCATTATGGGATGTGCAACAGTCTCATGATTTATGCTTCTGGCGTTTTAAAGGACCATTTAATATTCAAATGAAATTACAAAAAATACAGAAGATAGTAAAGTATGACAGGATGAAAGATAGAGAGAGAGCGAGAGAGAGAGAGAGAGAGAGAGAAAACAGGGCAGTCAGAGAGAGAGAGATCTTTAGGTCAGTGCTGCCTCTCTCTCTCACACACACACACACAGAGAGAGAGAGAGAGAGAGAGAGAGAAACATACACAGGCAGATCACAGCCTCATCATGTTACCTCTGTTTGCCCTGAGCCTCCCTCATCAACCCACACATTTGCTGTGTGTTTATCTTTATCAGATCTGCACAGAACAAGACATGAGAGGAGGCGAGAGGGAATGGAGGGGGAGAAAAGTGTTACACTCTCTCTCTCTCTCTCTCTCTCTCTGTTGCCATCATCGCCTGGGGGCCAATTACCTTCCCCTTTGCCAGCAGCAGCCCACCCCCAGCCCTGCTGCTCTCCTCTCCTCTCTCTCAGCATCAACAGGACCACGGCAACATCTGTCTCTGAATATGCAATCAGCTCGACTTGTCAATGAATGAGGAAAACACACATGCACAGAGCTAATATTTACTGACATCAGATCTTCCCTCCATTCAAAGCCACCAGCTAGTAGTATAGGCTAACTGCTCTCATGGGTCCCTGATCACACCTTCAGACCTCAGGACTAAAGTCTTAAGACCATGTCCATGACAAAACATTGCCTGGGATAGGACCACCCAGACTTCAACTAATTAGCATCCCAGATGAAGGGTTCAGTGTCAAGTTGCACCACAGAGGTGAAAAATTATTGCTGTTTGTGGCTAATTACTAATTGATTGTTAGTTGTAAAAGTTAAGAACAGTCAGCATTTATTACAGTCAGTTCTGAAACTATCAGTGTGCTTATTTGCAGTTCAAGAAGGGAGAGAGTGTGAGAATGGAGAGTGGAGAAATAAAATGTGTTGTGGTCTGGGAAAACGTATCAGATGTTGCTGTGGTTGATGAAAAATCAAGTTTTGAAGAAATTGTGTTTTTCTGCCTATAAAATACATTGACACATCAACTTTAAGAAATCATAATGATATGGAAATGTTCGTATTTATAATCATTTTAATCTTTATAATCTTGCCTAGACCTTACACAAAGATTATGTTGGAGGAACCAGTAAGGAACCAGTGCAGTGACACATGCAGTGATAAATACAGTCAGTGTATATAAAGATGTCTAGAACCTTCTCAAACAGTGAATTTGTGACAGATACATGGGGTACCAAACTGACATAAGCCTAATCAATTCAGCTGCACAGATAGCAGCTGTCAAAATGTCTGCAATGCTTCTGCACAGTCACATCATCAAAACAGGAAAGAGACTCTATACAGAAGCCAAGGCGACATACAGGTTAAATGCTGTGAGTGACATTTACTTCAGGTGATAAGACTAGAATGACAGAAGTGGATGATGCTGATGATCAAAGTGATTAAACATTTAACAAAGTGATTAAACATAAACTCATAATTGTTTGATAAAATGTTTAACATACAGTATAAAAATATAATGTGTATATTTTATTTGTTGTGTATTGACGTAAATGCAAATTAAATGAATAAATAGTAGTTTAGATAATCGATGCATCGGTGTTTCTCAGTGAGACTGGCAGGGAATCTTTACAAACAATATTCTCTGTTTTCACTTCAAGATTTTAAAATGCTAACTTTACTTATGGTTCAGATACTTGCAAAAGAGAAACATATTTTCGTTTAGGAACATGTCGTTTTCAGCACTTCGTGTAGTAGAAAGACCACGTGAAGGGTTTTCCCGGGCTGCCAAACAAATACAAGCCATGGATTACTATTTCTGCCACTGAGCACTCAGAGATCACAGGAGCATTTTACACTGCAAGAGAGAGAGAGAGAGAGAGAGAGAGAGAGAGAGAGATGGTGATGGTGATGATGGAAATGACTAATGTTTAGACAGCATGGGACCAATTTGAAACTCAGCCTGTTCTCTGCTCTGAATAAAAAAGATTAATGAGCTGATATTAATTTAGTGTTAATAATGTAGAAATGAGGTGGAGCACAAAAATGGGAAAAAAATGCTATACAGTACTAGTAAAATTACAAACTGTAGGGGGAGGACTGATGAGAAAGCATGTGAATAACAGTGAATGAGTGACAGAGAGAGGCAGAGAGAGATACAGAGATTTTGCATAATGTCCTCCACTACATTTGGACCCTGAGGCTAATATGCAGGATAATGCAGGGCCAGTACTCTTAATTCAATCTCGGGCTTTTCCCCCTAATACTTGAGAAATTATTAATTTTGGCCCCCGCCTCTACAAACCACTGTGAGTGTGAGCATCAGTGAGCTGCATAAGTTTGGAAGTTTAACCCAAGCTATTGATGTGGGAAGGCCCTTCAGGCAGACCTACTAATGAATGGATTGTGTGCAAAAGAGGGAAAGTTAAAAGATGGTCTTTTATAAAGTAATTTAAGAAAATCCTGTTAGCTGGATCAAGTACAAGAGTATAATTTCTCAAAATGGGGGAATAATTGAAGGGTTTTTTCCCCTGTCTCACTCGCACCCAGAGATAGGAGCCAGAAAACACACATACAGAGACTTGCTCTTATTTAATAAATGAACTCAGAGATGTTGATAGGAAATCAATTAAACTGGTAAACACTGATTATTTATAGTGTATAGGAGTGGAAATGAAGACAACACACACACACACATACACACACACTACATGATATTATACATATAGTCAGTTTCCAGTGATGACACACATACCCACTCAGTCTCATATAGTGTTACATATAGTGTTACATAGAAAAAAATTCAAGCACATCTGATGTAAATAATAATGTTACATACTATTATATAATTTTTATATTCATCTCTGTGTGATGACCCTTTAATTAACACAATAATCAATAAACTATGATGATTAGGCTACTTCTTAGTTTTTAGACTAAAATTACGAATGTTCTAATTCTAATTCCATGCTAATAGAGTTTATCACAGTTACAGAAAGTTACCGCTCATTATGAAATGAAATCCTGAGACGTTATAGCTGTTTGCCATGAAATTTTCAGACTTTTCATAAGAATTCATAAATATAAAGCTAC